AATAAGACAGTTGGTTTAATTACTATTGGAAAATGCTTGTCATTCCTCTGTAGCATCTGGTCCCCACTGGACCCCCATCATTTCCTTCACCTGCTCCCCCCACCGACCAAACTGTGCAGCTCTGCAACTGCATCCTGGCCCACCCTCACCCTTCTGCCCCCAATTCTCGCCTCCTTGTACCCCCAATATGTTTTTCCCAATAAAAAAAAAAAATCCTGCAGGGATCAACAGCCACAAGGACCGGATCTAAAGGACAAGAAGGCGTGGCTTCCTGGAAGTCTCCACCCACTCAGGGAGGTGGCCCGTGTTACGTGACACGCCATCCTGGGCCCGCTTCCGGCCGCAGTGCCTGATGGGAAGCAGAGTGGCGAACGAGGCCATCGGCCATTTTGTATCGGTTTCCTGTGGGACGCGGTGGTAGCGGTTGCGTCTGGAGAGGAGCGGGTTTTTTTTTGGTCTCTTTTTTTGGTTTTTTCCACTTGTTTTCTTTTCCCTATTCCTTGATCAGCGGGCCAAAGTGATGGGTCGCAAGAAGAAGAAGCAGCTGAAGCCGTGGTGCTGATATCCTTTATAGATTTGAAGTCGAGGCCGGCTGGGGGCGCCGGTTGTTGGTAACAGGGAGGCCTGGGTTGTGGCCTACGGCGAGGAGGTTGGGGCCTCGGGGCGGATGGTGACTGAGATCAGATTGAGGAGGCTTCTGAATGAGGTTCCTCCGGTGAGGGTGAGAAGCCGTTGTGGGTCCCGGGACTCCAGTTGAGGAGCAGCTACGTGGGCAGCGTCTCAGCCGCCCGCCGCGGTGTTTTGGTGATTGTTCAATAGAGTGCTTTTCTTCGAATGTTCATAGACTAATTGACTTAGTGAAGGATCGGAGAAAGCTTCCCGCGTCAGCGGCCTATCGTGGCCCCACCTTTAAAAAAAAATAAAAATGATGGCTTAGTAATTCATCTTTAATTGTAAGACCTTTGCCTTTTTGTACGTGCGCGCGCGCGGAGTGTGGACATGCCGTTTCCTCGTGAATCCGAGGTCCCCTAGCGTTCTCTTGAAAGGTTTCCTCTGTTAGCTAGCGTGTAGTACTTTTAAAAAGGATATTTTATTGGAAAGGAAAATCTTGGTAAAATAAATCGTCGCATTGCTTTGTCCAGAAACATAAGTATATTGCGCGTTAGTTGATTTTAGGCACTGTAACTTTTGTACCTAAAACGGATTTGTTAACATTTAAATGTTTAAGAAAGGTTATGCTTTTTATAAAAACCGGGAGTGAGTTCGGAATCCCTGGGTTTATGTGCTTTGGCCGCATACCTTCATACATAGTTAGAAACGACTTACGGAATTTTGATCGCCCGTGTGTGCCTCTTAGATCTAGGTATTGATAAGTGTCTAGTAATGGTAGATATTTTCCTCTTATTTAAACCTGACAGATAATTATTTTGACGTAAACTTGAGGTTTTTTTGATTCTTAAACCTGCCTGGTCCCAATGTGTTGGTAAGTGCTGAGTTGCAGAACAAAAGAAAAGGCAACTCACATGAAGCCTCTGTTCAACACACTAATGATGTTGGGGTTGCAGAAGAGTCCCTGGGACTCAGAAGTTGAAAATACTGAAATTACATGGCAAATAGTCTCTTAGTAGATTTAAAAAGTAGACTTCTAGAGTGCCACCTTGCTTGTATTGTAGCCTTTGCATCGCACTTTTTAAAAAACCGTGTTTTCTTATAATTACGGGCAATATCATTGTATTTTTGTGCCTTAACAGTGTTGATTAGGTATTGTAACAGAGATTTTGATGATGAAAAGATCCTTATACAGCACCAAAAGGCAAAGCATTTTAAATGCCATATATGTCATAAGAAACTTTACACAGGACCTGGCTTAGCTATTCATTGCATGCAGGTAAGAATTTTTCCTATATCAATATTTTATCAACTTGTAAGTTGGCAACAAATGCAAAAATACTGTAGTCTTTTATCTTCCCCCCCCCCTTTTCCCTCTCCTATTCTGTCACCCTTATCATTCTGAACACATTGTAGTCAGTCCATTGCTTCATGTCAGTGAGTCTAATTATTGAGAATATTCCACTCTTTCACTGACCCTCTACCTTTCCAAGCATAATATTCTCCAAGGAATAGTCTCCTGGACAACATGTTGTCTTTCAACAACCATTGTTGTTAATTTGTTGTAATTTTTTTGTTTGTTCCTTGAAAAAGTACAGATGAACTGGCCTGTCAGCTTAAAACAGAAACTGTTCTGTTGCCATCAAGAAGATAGACAGTTTACTTTTTGCATTTAAGGGAAGTTGTTATGGGAAAGATTTTTAAAATAACAAGTCTCCTTTGTACTATGTTAAATTGCTGAGAATTAGATTGAAAACACAAGATTTGCACCCGAGTTCTTGAGGGTCCATGATACAAACTTTTGTGGGTTATCTGGCTAGCTCAGTCCCATAATATAATTAGCTGTTCTTATACTCTGCCACTGAAAGATTTATTTGGTATTATCCTTAGCCTGAGACTTGTTTCAATAATTCTTTTTTTTTTTAATAACTACATTGCATTTACTAATTTCTAGGTTACTTGAACCCTTTCACTACTTAAGGAGAGCTTTGTAAGTTATTTTTCTGTAAACACTGAGTGCATTTGGTTTTCATTCGGCATTTTTTTCTTCTAGCTTTTATGCTAGTCCCATAGCTGTCAGGGATTCTGCTAAATTGGACCCTGGAGAGGTTGAAGAGAAGTTCCATTATAAACTTCTATTGGTGAGAGCAGGGAGGTAAATGAAAACTTGTTTCTCTAGCTTAAAAACAAGCTTACATAATCTTTTTACCTTAATTATTTTATAGTTAACACCATCTTAATAGCCTTTCAGAAATATCAACATACTAAACTCATGAAGTCTGCTGTGGTAACAACTTGTCCCATTAGCCTCATAATAGATACATAGTAGCTGTGTTTGACCAGCAGGTGAATATTGTATTGGGTGACAGATAACCTTTGTTCAAAGAATATTAATACAGCACATTTTGTACTAGATACTGTTCAGACATTAGACATACAACAGTGACTAAAACAAAGTCTGGTTATGGAGCATAGGTTTATGCTTATCTATAAATATTTAGTTTATCCTAAATATCTGTAAATATTTAGTTTTGCTTAATAGCAAAAACTAGTATTAAGAAATGAGCATTAATCCATCAACCAATGAATGGATTGAGAAATTGTACATTCACATCATGGACTACTATGTAGCACTCAGGAGCAACAATTTCTAAAATCTGGGAAAGGCTAGAGGGCATTATGCTGAGTGAACTAACTCAGACTTCTAAGGATAAATACTATATAAAACCATTATTGTAAAAACAGAAGGATAACCAGTATGTGTATAAATGTCCAAATAGGGAGGTGAGGGGGTGCTGAGGGTAAGATTACTGGGTTTGTATAGGTTGGGAATGGGGTGAAGTAATGAGGAAAGATCTAGGGGATCTGCAAAGACAGGGTAATGGCTCAATGGATCAATAGTGATTAGTTTTTTGAGACACAATTTGTGGTAATGATCCTGTGAAAACCCCAGTATGAATGGGGGGAACCCCAAAAATTTTAAAAAAAAAGGCATTAAGGAAGACCTTGATAAGAAAAAGGCTGACATTTGAACAGAGACTTTATTCTGAATACTCTTATGTTTAGAAATCAGAGCATTAAAAAGAGCCATCCATGGAGATGGACAAATAGGAAAGCCAGGAGTGTGACTGGTTGAAGCTAGATGAAATGGAAAGTTCTGAGAGTGGTATTTAACTGCATCAGTAGTTAGGAGTTTCAAGTAAAAGAGAGACACACAACACCTACACCCCCATCCAGAAAGTGATAAAGATGGCAGTCTTATTGGAGAGGTTTCACAAGGAGGTTTCTGCATAAAGTAAAAGATGAGTTGAGAGATTATTAGTAAATCTTTAATTTCTTTTTTTTTTTTCTTTCTTTAATTTCTTAAAAGAGCCCTTGACTGGTAACCAAAAAATGTGATGGTTCAAGCTTATCAGCTGCTTTAAGGGAAGAAAGATAACATTCCAACCCTTATAAGCCTTGGAAAACCATATAAGATTAAGTATATGTGAGGCAGTATTTAGTGTGTTAGGACTTCACAGCGGAGTACTTGGATTTTGATTATTCAAGTGCTTATTATATTTTTGTAGTCTTATTTTCATAGCAACCTGTGAGATAGGTAACATCATCTTATTTTATAGATGATAAAATCAGTGACATTAGAAATTTAGATGACTCAATAGTTTCTCATAAATGCTCGCTCATTATCTCTTCTATGCAGTGAAACAGTCGCTACTTCAGTTCTACTTGTAAAATTCGGTTCTAAAAAAATCTGTTGAGTTCTGGTGGTAGCATAATGTTGAGGGGGGAAATGCTGAATAAATAAAATTTTTTTCTCTCTTCTCCAGCAGCTTTAAAATAACACCTCTGCACTTAACATAGATAATGAAAACTAGTGTGTATGTAAATGTAACTATATTTATTTAGAGAACTACAAGGTGAATTATCTATATACTTACCAAGAAGCTCAGGGAGCAGAGTGATAAATCGCTTGTCATTTTATCCCTGGATCTTTTAATTACATTTAAAGAAACTTCAGTTAAAGGTTGATTAGAAAGTAAGGTAATTTCTGATTTTTACTTGCATGTCTCTTGAAAAATTTTGGGTAAGTCAGATAGCTATCTAAGAAACCCTTTATGTTTTTATATGACAATGACTTGAGAAAAAAGAGTAGTATTTTTTATTTTTAGTTATTAGCATTTCTAAAATGAGTGCCAGGTAATACTAGTATCTGAGCGTAATGAATGCATCCACTCATTAACTGACACACAGCTGAACTGCTGAGTTTTTGAGGCTGTAAATTGTACAGGAGGATATTGCCCATTTTGCTCCCTTGGATTAGAATTGTCAGGCACAGCCTTTGGCTTTTGCAGCGCAGCTCCCTACTGAGTACGCCACCAGTATTTCTAATGCATACCCTAGCCTTTTGCTAAAGATACCAAGGGTTTACTGTATTGGCATGGTATTATCATTTGATAGTTGTTGATTCCTATGAGTGTGGGTTCACTCATGACAGCCCTATGTGTATGTCAGAACTATTCTGAAAACCGATTGATTACCAGGCATATGTCTTGTGTTGTAGCTGGATAACTTTCAGCCACCAGTCATTTGTGCCACACATGAGAATACATTATCAGTGTGTTAACATCTTTACCTCTTTGTTAGTTGTATTTTTTCCCAATCTGTTTTTGAAATAGGCTGTCCATCACATCCCCCACCCCACACACCCTGTGATTATGTGTATTAGGGAAGGATGTTGTAAATCAACTTGAGACCATTCAGGATATAGCATGTCAGTCAGGATAGCAGCTTCTTGGCTGAGAGGCACGTCTCTTTTACCTTCAGCCTTACAGTCTTTTCCTCTGTCCTGGACAAGTATTACAAAGCTGATTTAGCTTTGTCTGTTTGCTATCAGTCTCAGTCTGCCAGTTAGACTAGGCTCAGAGGTGCTCTGAATTCTTCCCCCCACCCCCCCCAAATATATGAAACCTACCAGCTTGGCATTAATTCAAATGCATAGCAACCCTGTAGGTCAGTAGAATTGCCCCATAGGGTAACAATCTGTAAATCTGCCTTATATTTTTCATGCTCAGTAGATGGTGAGTTTGAATCATTGCTCTTTCAATTAGCAGCCCTATCTTTAACTCCCTGTGCCACCAAGACGTTTTTAATGCCATCTGGTAAAATATATAAAGTATAATAAATACAGTACATAAATAATTCAGACTAGAAACTTTTATTTGACTACTGTTGATAATAAAAGTGGACAAGGTTATGTAGTAAACTTAAAATATACTATTTTTTTCTTTTTTTAGTACACTTAAGATAAACTAATTAAGGAGTCATTGTAATAATGCAGTCTATCGAGTTCTTGCTTACTCACTTTTCATAGACTTTTAAAAAAACTGTTTATTAGATCAGACATTTTCTGGGGGTGGGAAGGACATGCCCAAATGTTTCCCAATACAAAACTGTTTAAAAGACGCTGTTTAAAGGTTTAAAAATTCCTGCAAAAGTAATTTTAATGTAGTTCTTACCCTCGCATATTACTGCTTCTTGCATTCTTGTGGTACACATTAAGATTGATAAGCCGCCAATGGTAAGATGTTGGCAAGTACAAGTTAGTTATTATAGATGTGGAATAAACCAAACCTGAGAGAGAAATGAGTTGTTAAATGTCTCAGGTAATAAGGCAAAACTGGAATTTTACTTCAGAGGGTCTCACTGTAGAGCCACTAATTTTTAATCCTTATATGAAGTAATTTTACATTATTCAGAAATGTTCATGAAGTATTTTTTGCAATGGAATTGTTTTAATATTAGGTACATAAAGAGACAATAGATGCTGTACCAAATGCAATACCTGGGAGAACAGACATAGAATTGGAAATCTATGGTATGGAAGGTATTCCAGAAAAAGACATGGATGAAAGGCGACGACTTCTTGAACAGAAAACACAAGGTAAAATTTAAGGTGTCCTATGTTTTAATCCAGATTTACTTTAGAAAGTGCAAACATTATAATTTTTAAGTGTAAATTTAATGGCAGATTTACTCAGAATTCCAATCTTAAGTCTAGAGGGTTTTTCATTTTGTTTTTACTTTATATTGGTTTTCATATAAAACTTGTTTGGGGGTTTGTATTTTGTTGTTTTTTCATTTGTGGGTCAGTATTTTCAGTTTTCATACAAAACTTGTATACATTATGTTTCATTCATGTATATTCTGTTTCACACATTTCTTCATCATTGTGTTTTGTATGATCATTCATATACTTTTTTTTTTATAAAATTAATCACCACTGAGCTATGCCTACTATTATTACTCCATCATATTAGGTCCCCATTGGATCTTTTTTAATTGAATCTAGTTTTTTTCCTTACCTTTTTAAAAAGTCATAATTGAATCCTGAATGGAAATGAATAAATTTTGAGTTGTTTGAATTGAAAATGAAAAGTAACAAATTTAGAAACTGATAGATATAAATTAGAAAACAAGAGTTGTCAGCCTCCAAATGATGGCAATTACAAAGCAAAAAGAGGGAATTGGAAAAGTAATTATAAAAAAAAATTAAAAAAAAGAAAAGTAATTATAGAACTTCTAAATAGAGAGGAAGTATACTTAAAGAGGAAGTGGGAAATAAAATTGTAATTTCTAGGGTAACTTACAAGATAATCAATAAACTGTCTCAGCACAGTTACAAAGAGGAAATAATGAAGATTCAGAAAACACTAATAGACTAATGAATGATTAAAAAAAAACCCATAAACAGTTACCTTAACAGAAAAACAAAACACAAATAGGCAACACCACAAGCATGAAACACTGCCTTACTGTATCTAGAAGACATGCTAAGCAAAATCAGTCAATCACAAAGGACTTTTATGGTATGTTATTGTTATGTGCCATCAAGTTGCTTGCAACTCATAGCGACCCTATGTACAACAGCCCTAAACTCCGCCCTGTCCTGTGCCAATTGCACCATCTCCAACACACCCATTCCAATTGCCCCAGTCACTGAATCAATCCACCTCATAGAGGGCTTTCCCCTCCTGCGCTGTCCCTCCACCCTCCCAAGAATGATGTCCCTCTATAAGGACCGGTCCCTCCTTAACTACATGTCCAAAGTATGTTAGACAGAGCCTCAGAATCCTTGCCTCCAAGGAGCTGCCCGGTTTGACCCTTTCCAGGATGAATCTGTTTTCCTAGCAGTCCATGGTACCCTCAGTACTCTTCTCCAGCACCACAGCTCAAAGGCTTCTATTCTCTTCAGTCATTATCCAGCTCCCTTGCAAAGACCATGGCCTGTATCAGACACACCTTAGTCTCCAGAGAGACACCATTGCTCTTCAGTACTTTGGAGAGATCCCTAACAGCAAGCTTTTCCATCGCAATGTCTTTTAATTTCCTGGCTACTGGTGCCCAGAGTGTTGACTGTGGAGCCAAACAAACTAAAGCTGTGAACAATCTCAGTCTCTCCACCATCCCATCCTGATGCTGCCAGTTGGCCCAGTGGTGAGAATCTTTGTCTTCTTGACATTGAGCCTCAATCCATATTGGAGGCTGCAGTCCTTGTCCCTCTGCAGCAAGCGCTTCAGGTCCTCCTCAGTTTTAGCAAGCAGTGTTGTGTCATCTGCGTAACGCAGATTGTTGATAAATCTTCCTCCAATCTTGACCCCATATTTCTCCTCATAGAGCCCAGCCTCCCGGATAATCTGTTCTGCATACAGGTTGAAAAGGTATGGAGACAGGACGCATCCCTGGCATACGCCCTTCCCAATTTTGAACCATGCAGTGTTTCCTCGCTCTATTCTGATGACTGGTCCAAGGATAGGTTTCTCATTAGCATGATCATGAGTTCTGGGATTCCCATTCTTCTCAGAGTCAGCCACAGTTTGTTATGATTCACACAAATGCCTTTGCATAGTCAGATAACAGACATTCCTTTGGTATTCCCTGCTTTCAGCCAAGATCCATCTAACGCCAGCTACAATATCCCTAGTACCACG